TTTTCCCTAAATTATTTTCCCGTCGTTGTATCATCGTCCTCACCGCGTCCTGATCCTACTGGATTTCCTAGAAATCACGAAATTTGACTCATTTGACGAAAATACCCTTAATAGCACTACCTTGTAAATGTAGTCAAAGCCAAACTCCTTGTTTGTTTCCTCACTAGGGAAGGGTATTGTCGCCAATAAAAAAGGCTAAATTCCAAGTTGCATATGGAATGGACTTCCTTAGACCGACAAACCAGAAAATATAAGTAGGGATGTTGTGATTTTCTCTCTTCACTGATCAGATTTTCTTCGAAAATTACTACGAAGTTGACGCGGAAACAAAATCCCCAGAAATTAATTCTTTGATTTTTTTTGTAGAAATCAAGAACAGGAGAAGATGGGTTCTCAGCAGAACGAAGGAACTAGTGTCACGCCATCTGAACCCAAGCTCTGCGTGAATGGATGTGGGTTTTTTGGGACGGCGGCCAACATGGACCTGTGCTCTAAGTGCTATCGGGATCTCCGTGTCGAGGAAGAGCAGGCTGCTAAGGCAAAGGCTGTCATGGAAAAATCTCTCTCCCCCAAATCGAAGGAGCCTGAGGTTGTTGATGCGGTCAAGTTGTTGGGTGAAAAGAAGGCTGTTGAGGGGACTCATGTGGGTTCGGGGGCATTGTCATCGTTGGTGTCTTCATCATCTGCTGCTGTCAATGGTGAGCGGGAGGAGCCGAAGGTGCCTCAAAGGTGCTTAAGCTGTAACAAGAAGGTTGGATTGACCGGGTTTAAGTGCAAGTGTGGGAGCATGTTTTGTGGGGTGCATCGGTACCCAGAGAAGCATGAGTGCACGTTTGATTTCAAGATTACTGGCCGTGATGCGATTGCTAAGGCCAATCCTTTGGTTAAGGCTGATAAGGTGGAGAGGTTCTGAAAAGGGCTTGAAGATGTCTGGTTTTCGTAAGTCAATGTTCTCGATTGAATATGCTGGCCTTTCAGGGAAAAAAAAAAAAGGGAAAATCTTTCTTTCGGATTTTTATTAGTTTTAGGTTTGATTGAAGCTTCAAGGCGTCTGGGTCGGGATGGTGGTTTGGTTTAGGTTGATTCCATATTCCATAATAAAATGAATGAATTGTTACTTATCAGTTTCTTTCTTATAATAGCTAAAGTCTTTTAAATTGTCGCTTCTAAGGATTTTTAATATATTATAATTGATTGTATATCAATTGTATATATATATACTTGTGTCTGCCAGAGCTAGAATGTTATCTATAAGTATTCCTTGGATGGATAGAATTCAGAGAATTCTGCACGTGATGTTCCTTTTATGCTTCCATCAGTTTGGTTCTTTTGTTGGCTTGCTTCCACCCTCAATTGTCTGATGTATGGAGTTGAGGACAATGTGCCCAGATTCTCCTTCCTTGCTAATTGCTTTTGCTTAAAATCACTCTGCTTCATTGCATGGCACATTAGGACATTTCAGTTTCCTTTGCATCAAGCCTATTAGGGTTGCGAGTTTCTAAAAGCGCATTGCTAATTTGTTTTGCTGTTATTCTGTTGCCATTTCTCAAATTGCAGTCATATCCTATATACATGGGCTGTTTAGACGCATCAGTTACATTCTTAAATACTGGCTTTGATTCCTGTTCAGGAAATTATTGTACAGCTATATAAATAAGAGCTATTCTTAGAATGTGTGCTGCGTTGTTTATGGTCGTCTTCCATTATCTGATTCAATGGGGACTATGCAAATGCCTTCTATTGTGGATTATGCAGTTCTCCACACTGGCATCCATGTCAATTCATCTAAAGTCCTACAGAATCTACTGTCTATCTCTGTGGAGAGTTGAGATTCCACACAGTCCTGAGGAAGCATTCAGGGGAAACATCGTAAAATTTACTGACTTTGTATTTACACGATAGCCTATTTGTGTTCATATAGCAAAATGGATGATTAGGACTTTTCAAGCTATCTAGTTCTAAAATTCTTAGCAGCTATGGTGGATTATGCTTGTATCATGAACCTGATTGTTCTTGCTTGTTCTGTTTACTTGTATCTGAACCCAAGCCAGAAAAACTGATTTGTCTCCTTACAAGTAGAGAGTCTTGCAGCTTGAGTTGATTACAAATTTCAGGAGAAATGACAATCATTCATATCCAGTTCTGTTTGGATTAGTGATCACTTGAGCACTGGTGAACCTTCAACATTTGTTATTTCTTCAATGACACTTCTCTCTATTAATTTTATCAGTTGTTTTTAAGTTTCCCCATCTGAAATTCAACATAAAATAAGCTGTTCTCTTCATTGTTCATCTTATTAGCACTTAAGTAATTGGAACCTGTATCTAAATATTTTATAATCTTTGGTGTCCCTGATAGTGTTCTGACTTCTCATAATAATAGCTGAGCGGACAAAGACTGGATGTGTTTGCATAGAGCTGTAGGACTGAACTAGAAGCTTTTGTGAACCTAGTTTCATTTTTGGTTGAATCATTATCGTTCCACCAGCCTTCATTGATATGGTTTTAAAAACCTGTAGCCTAAACTCATGGCATGACATGTGCTCTCCACACGCCTATGCCTTTTTCTAGAGGCTTAAAAATTGCAACGCTGCTAAGAGCACTCATTTTAGCAAGTTCATGTGGAGGGATTTTGATATGCAGAATGCAAGTGGTACGATATAACGCTTTCAAGAAGCTTTGGTGGTAGTGTTTGTTCTCAAATAGGCAACTTATCATGACCTACCGAATTATTTTCTTAGGTTCCTGTTTTGGTTGATTATGGTGTCTTTTCTCAATAATATGCAGGGATGCGAGAGAATGCAACATATCATGTGGCAGGTACCATTCTCCCCACACCTTTTTTATTCCCCTCAAGTTTTTATTGGGTTTTTCTATCTTTTCATCTTTTTCATCTTTTTTTATTTGATATTTGTGAGTAATCGGTTCAAGTACCACACCTTGATTAACAAACACATCATATGCTTTCATTTGATGTTGAATGCACAGAAGAGAATCTAATTGCAGGTACTAAATTACTCTTTTGAGGCCTTTTAGGACCACCATCTATGAACTTTCAATTGAAGAGTCCTAATCAAGGCAAAGTGAGGGTGGGTTGGAAGAAATAAAAGCTGTCAATAAGGCCTGCAGGTGGTGTGGAGCAGACCATGCCCTCTTTCCTTTCTGTGAAAATCAAAAACAAAGTAGGTTGGTGACATGAAAATGACACTCAACAGTGATGGAAATTCTTTATCAAATCAAATTGAGGATTCCTTCCTTTACTTACGGTTCTAATTTGGCTTTTGATAAAGATCATCTTCACTTTTTGTAATACAGATTGATAGTCATGATACTCATATATTCCACTGACATTTTGTCCCCACCACCACCACCTTCTTGGACCAATTTTTATGTTGCAATATTTTCATTTCATTGCATCTACATATCTTATGAAAACCAAGTTTCTTAATTTGGTCCGTATCTAATATTCTTGGTGTTCTCTATCATAACTCTCGTTTTACTTGCATTTGTCATCCAAAGCAGGAAGAGAATATACCCTTTAGAGGCTGATGAATCAATTTGTTAAATAGCTCTCCTTGGAGGGTTCTAATTAATAGTCATTTTCATGGTCTTGATTCTTGAGTCATTGTCTTTCATAGGTTAGGTGAAGTTCATTGTGTGTAGTAGGAACAGTGCACATGTTAACTACCAGAAGTGAAAGATCCCTCGTGTGTAAATCGTGCATATTCTGAGAGCATCGCCTTTTATCTTTGTAGGTAGGGATCCGATGGAACCCCAACACCACGGGCGTTGTGCTTTTGGCTTCCCCATCTTCATTTGCCACAAGTTGGTTCAGTGCAAATAGTGTAGTGGGGGTGGGGGAGCGTGAGAAACTTAGGTGGATCAGTAAGGCATGAATGTTAAGGAAACAGAACAGGTAACTTGGTAGATGTGGTGGGTCAAAGGTGGGGATTATTATTACCCCATGATCCAAGCAAAGCTAACCTCTTTTTTCTATTTTGCCAAGAGTCTCATTTCTCCTGTTTAGGTCAAACAGCCCCTCGAATATACTCCTTAGTGCGATCCAGTGCCATCCTTGCATTCCCAAAAAGTATATGAAAATTATAACGATAAAAAGACCCTTCCCCAAAGGTGCAAAAGTTCATTATGATTATTGAAACAATTTCAAAAACAGTCTCTATATTTTAAATTTTATGGATAGTAAAAAATCTGAATTTTTAAAAGAAATTTTATTTGTCAACAACTTAATCAATTTAGTGATTATCTCTTTTCACTGAAAGTAAGAGGTCATGAATTCGAGTCGTATGATATATATGTGAGATTGAATAAGATATGAGAGATGATTGCTTCTTATTGTGTAATTAAGATAAAAACAATTATATTTTACAATTTAAATTATATGTGACATAAATGAAATAATGGTGAAACTTACATTTATTTAATTATTAATATAATATAATTTAATATAATATGAATTACATTATTCTTTTATTTTTAAATTTCTCATAAAAATATGGGAAAGTAATGTTTTAAAAAAAATAATTCATTAATTAAAGTGTAACATTTTAGAGTGACATTTAATGCCTTGAAGTGTGACAATTACTTTAACGTTAGCAAAATGAAAGTGGCTTTTTCAAATAAAGGGATGTCCATAAATTGAGATTTGAGAGCTGAAATGCTTCAAATTTTGAAGGTGAGGGAATGGGGGATATAGATGGACCATTAATGCTTTTTGCCCACTTTCGAATTTGAATGTTCCTGCGTACTACGATTCTGGATTTCAAATCTTCAACTCACCTCTCCCCTTATTATTTATTATATGCAAAACAAAAAGGCTTCATACCTCTCATCTCATGTAATTTTTTGCTCTTCTTAATTTGTCTTCCTATGCGTACCCTTTTTCTTAAACCCAAAACCTCAGCATTCTTCATTAGTTTGAATTCAACCATCAATTTATTCAAAATTACACCAAAATCTCATAATTTAAAAATCCGAAACCCGAAAACTGAAACCACAGTTTTTTTTTTTTGATTTTCCATCCAGTATTCAGGGTTTCACCCCGACTAATCTGGACCCGACCCGCGTCGCTCACCTGAAAATGGTGGAAACCACAGTTAGATTGGCACTTAAAACGATAACATTCGTAACGGTTGGATCTTGGCCGAACTAGAGGAGTTGAGGTCAGAAGCGTCATTTAATATCAAAAGTGCAGAATTACGGGACGCAACCGTCTATAGCGCATTCAAACATTGCTCCCTGGATTGTCCTCTTCTAACTCAGTTCGGTAAAGGGTTTTATTTCTTATTTTATTCATTAAAATTTGATTTTTTTTAAACCCATGAGATATGATAAAAGATTATGGATCATTTTTTTAATATAATTTTTATATGTTGTATTTATATAAAATTTTAATTATTT